GTGCGCACGTCTATGAGCACCATGCTTCTTGGCTTCACAAAGGGCCAACCTACATTTCTTGGGCAAATTTAGCTCTTTGGCATTTAGGGAGAATAATTTTATGGTCATGGTGAGAGCCCAGTATATCCAGTATATGTCCAGTATGGGGCAGTGGGCCAGTTTGGTTGTAATGTGTGGTGAGACCAGCAGTGAAGGAACAACTTAAAATAAAGTAGAACAGAAAAGAAAATATAAAAAACTATATACAATATCCCGTTAGCAACGCGTATGTGGATCAGTGTTTCAAAGAACGGTTATGATTGGCTTAACCATCAAAGCCACCATTGGGGGCGAGTGGTAGTTAAGATGAGCAATCTTATATAATCACTTAAAGGACCACTATAGTGCCAGAAAAACATACTCGTTTTCCTGGCACTATAGTGCCCTGAGGGTCCCCCACCCGCCAGGCTCTAGGGGTTGGAAGGGGTTAAACTTACCTCTTTCTCCAGCGCCGGGCGGGGGACTTTCCTCCTCCTCTCTGCCTCCTCTCCTCCTCCTCGGCTGAATGCGCATGCGCGGCAAGAGCCGCGTGCGCATTCAGCCAGTCTCATAGGAAAGCATTCACAATGCTTTTCCTACGGACGCTGGCGTCTTCACACTGTGATTTTCACAGTGAGAAGTGCGGAAGCGCCTCTAGCGGCTGTCAATGAGACAGCCACTAGAGGCTGGATTAACCCTATTATAAACATAGCAGTTTCTCTGAAACTGCTATGTTTATAGAAAAAAGGGTTAAACCTAGCTGGACCTGGCACCCAGACCACTTCATTAAGCTGAAGTGGTCTGGGTGCCTATAGTGGTCCTTTAAGCATATACGTTAGGTAATAACTCTATAACATTAGATAACATCCGATCATGGATTTAAGACTGTGAATCACATTAGTGGTGAAGACAGCCTTAAATGGAATAGATCATTAGGTATATGACCTTAATTAGGTAGTATGCCCATTGTTGATCAGGATACATTGTTATGAACAGGGAGCACTACGGCTTGTCTGTGCTGCCGATGACCATTGAGCTGAAGTGGTCTGGGTGACTATAGTGTCCCTTTAATCTAAATTATGCAATTTAGATATACAAAAGTTTTGTCTCATTCTTCCTAGTGTTCAAATGGTGTCCAACTCTAGTCCTATAGCATAGTTAATAAGAAGGGCATTAATAGTACTTAAGAATAACACAATTAAAAAAATGTAAAGCAGAAATGCAATGCCATACATTCAACATTTGAATCTCATTACCAGACACATCACAACATGTAATCAGGTAATGGGGCTTAAAAGTTAGCTGTATTATGTGGCACATCTGCTTAAAATAGTATGATTATTTTTGTCTATTTTACAGTCCTTTGAGTACAGTTGTTCATTTAATTTTAAGTTTTTATTTCCACCTCTATATTTGCGCGCTATACTTTTGTAATGCATGATGGGGCTGATATAAAACAATTTTCAGGCCTGCTTTTTATTCACAGATCTGGGTGCCATGTTCCTGTTTTCTTAACCCTGCAACTGAAAACATTGCCATTCTCTGATGTCTTCATGACAGCCACTAGAGTGCTTCAGCCACCTTAGCCAATTTAAATTCTGTTATTGAATTATATTGATTGGCACAGCGCAGTGTTTTGCCACACAAGCACACTAGCCTCCCAATGTTTCCCTGTGGAGAAACAATGGATTAGGCAAGGGACTAATTAAAGTATTTAGAAAATTGTGCAGACTAGATGGGACGAATGGTTCTATCTGACTTCACATTCTATGTTTCTATATTCACTGATGATCTCAGCCAAGGACAGGATCTCTGTCAGGACATATTCTTAAAGGGACACTATATTCACCCAGACATCTTCTGCTGAAGTGGTCTGGGTACAGTGTCCCAGTCCCACTTAGTCCTGCAATGTAAAACATTGCAGTTTTACAGAATCAGACAGCTACTAGAGGCACTTCCTGGTGGCTAACTGACTTTATATGTGACATCTGCTCTGAAATCAGTCAAGTGACTAAAGTCAAGGGAGGGAACAATAGTGTTAGGAATACAGATTTGTATCCCTAACACTATTGCATCCCTTTAATGCTACAGTGTTTCTTTAAACTTTTATAGGAAGTTCTGGAGTACCGAATTTTAAGTAGATTGTGCTCCCCTTCATTCCCTTGGGGGCTCTTTTTCTAGTACATATAGTTTAGGACTAGATTTGAGCGAGCCCGAACCGTAAAGTTCGGGTTCGTACCGAACTTTAAGATTTTTTTACCCCGAACCCAAACCAGGACATTTCAGTAACAGTTCGGGTTCGAGTTCGGTGTTCAGCGATTTAATGGCGCGTTTTGAAAAGCTGCAGGGCAGCCAATCAACAAGCGTTTGATAAAACTGCCGAATTGCATCCTAACAGAATGAGAACAGTTTCTCCATTCGTGTTAGAATGCAATTCGGGACTTTGTTCATATCGCAATTTCATTCGAATGAATTAAACTCCGATCCTATTCATTGCGGTGGCTGCATCTTGCAGGCGCTTAGTAGATAACTCCCTAATTCCCACGGTACTAGGAAGCTATCTACCAAATGGCTGAACGACCTAAATTGGTCTTTCAGCCACATTTACTAATACTGAAAGACCAATTTTGGTCTCTCCTTAACGGAGACGCCAAATTGTACACAAACTATTCAGCAACAGACTTGCCCAAATATTACAAAAACTAGTACATAATGACCAATCAGACTTCATTAAAGGCTGCCAGGGCTCAGACAATACACGGAAGATCCTGAATGTGCTGGCGACCGTGGAGATGGGCACAGCGCTAGATGCGGAGAAGGCCTTCGACAGACTAAATTGGGTATGCATGAGACAGGTGCTTCTTAAGTATAATTTCCCACAGGAGATCATCAGAGAGATTATGGCGCTGTATGCAGCCAGTCTCATGGGGGTTTCTATCAGACTCATTCTTCACAACGAATGGGACCCATCAGGGATGCCCCTTGTCTCCCCTCCTATACATCCTCTCCCTGGATCCCCTAGTGTGGAAAATCCGGTGCAGTTGTCCTGTCCCCTTAGCAGAAAAACACCCCCAAAGCATAATGTTTTCACCTCCATGCGTGACGGTGGGGATGGTGTTTTTGGGATCATAAGCAACATTCCTCCTCCACCAAGCATGGCGAGTTGTGTTGATGCCAAAGAGCTTGATTTTGGTCTCATCTGACCACAACACTTTCACCCAGTTCTCCTCTGAATCATTCAGATGTTCATTGGCAAACTTCAGATGGGCCTGTACATTTGCTTTCTTGAGCAGGGGGACCTTGCAGACGTGCAGGATTTCAGTCCTTCACGCAGTGGCGTACACATGACCCATGGGGCCCCGGTGCAAAAACTGATCCGTGGCCCCCCCACGCCACGCGGCTCGCAACACATGGCGGTGGGCACCTGGTCGCAGGTGTTACAGGGCTGCGACCCCTGCGACCACGGTATGTACGCCAGTGCATGCAGATGCACACACACTTAAAGGACCACTCTAGGCACCCAGACCACTTCAGCTTAATGAAGTGGTCTGGGTGCCAGGTCCAGCTAGGGTTAACCCATTTTTTCATAAACATAGCAGTTTCAGAGAAACTGCTGTGTTTATGAATGGGTTAAGCCTTCCCCTATTTCCTCTAGTGGCTGTCTCATTGACAGCCGCTAGAGGCGCTTGCGTGCTTCTCACTGTGATTTTCACAGTGAGAGACGCCAGCGTCCATAGGAAAGCATTATGAATGCTTTCCTATGTGACCGCTGAATGCGCAAGAAGCTTTGCCGTGCGCATACAGCACAGGAGGAGAAGAGGAGGATCGGAGGAGGCCTCCAGCGCTGGAAAAGGTAAGTTTTACCCCTTTCCAGAGCGGGGGGGGGTCCCTGAGGGTGGGGGCACCCTCAGGGCACTATAGTGCCAGGAAAACGAGTATGTTTTCCTGGCACTATAGTGGTCCTTTAAAGGACCACTACAGACACCCAGATCACATCAGCTCAATGAAGTTGTCTGGGTGTCAGGTCCCTCTAGTTTTAACCCTGCAGCTGAAAACATAGCAGTTTCAGAGAAACTGCTATGTTTCACTGAGGGTTAATCCAGCCTCTAGTGGCTGTCTCACTGACAGCAGCTAGAGGAGCACACTGAACGTCCATAGGAAAGCATTGTGTAATGCTTTCCTATGGGCGGTTTGAATGCGTGCGCGGTCGCATTCGGAGCTGAGAGGCTGAGGGATCCTCAGCACCAAGGGAGTCCGGCGCTGGAGAAAGGTAAGTGCTGAAGACACACACACACACACACTTAGAGACGCATACACACTAGCTAACAGACACACACATTTACTGACAGAGACACACTCAGCGACAGACATACATACACACTCACTTACAAAACATACACTCTCATTGACAAACACACACTCACTAACAGACATCACACAGACTCACTAACACACACACACTCACTAACAGACATCAAACAGACTCACTAACACACACACACTCAATAAGACACACACAGTAACACACTCACTAGCAGACACACACACTAACACTCACTCTAACACTCACACACACTAACACACACACTAACACTCACTCTAACACTCACACACACTAACACTCACACACACTAACACTCACACACTCACACACTAACACTCACTCTAACACTCACACACTAACACTCACACACTCACACACTAACACTCACTCTAACACTCACACACTAACACTCACACACTAACACTCACACACACTAACACTCACACACTAACACTCACACACACTAACACTCACACACACTAACACTCACACACTAACACTCACACACACTAACACTCACACACTAACACTCACACACTAACACTCACACACACTAACACTCACTCTCACACATGATTTTTTATTTTTATTTTATGTAATCCCCCCAGCCTCCTTACCTTTTGGAGTGCTGGGGGGATTCCCTGGGGTCCAGTGGTGGTGCTGCTGGGCTCCTGGGCGGGTGGCCGGTCGGGCAGGAAGGCGGGCGCGCGAGGGAGCACTCACTGCTTCCTCTTCAGCTCCCTCGCGCGCCGCTTAGGGATGCCGGCGCAGGAAGATGACGTCATCTTCCGGCTCCGGTATCAGTGCGGCGGGCGAGGGAGCTGAAGAGGAAGCAGTGAGTGCTCCCTCGCGCGCCTGCCTTCCTGCCCGACCGGCCGGCCAGCCGGCCGGCCACCCGGGGCCAGCCTCAGGGGGCCCTGGGGTGGTCGGCTCCTGGGCCCCCCAAGGGGAAGAGGCTGGCCCAATGGCGTACATGCCGGGTCGCATTTGACATCAAATCAATTTATAACTTTTTTCCACATGCGTTTTTCTGGATTTTTTTTTTTTCTGTCTCTCACTGTTAAAATACACCTACCATTAAAATTATAGACTAATCATTTCTTTGTCAGTGGACAAACGTTCAAAATCAGCAAATACTTTTTTGCTTCACTGTAGCTGATGGCGGCCATCTTTATACTCCTATTATAGAGGTCATGGCGGCCATCTTGGTCCCCCCTTCTTAAAGCTATCCCCCCCCCCAAAAAAAATTCAAATTATTTTTATACTTTTAGGTATTATTTCATCAGACTTATTTAGCTCTCTGATGCATATTATGTTTTTTATAAAAAGTTTTAATTAATTAACTGCTGGTCACATGACTGATTACACCACCTGACTGTTTAAAGTCTCTAAATGGAAGATCCACATCATCAACTCCTGTCCGATCTTTCTAATAAAATCCCCTCCTCTCCAATCCCTAAACACCCGTTTAATACCTAAAAATTCCAGATCACTTGGATCCTTATTGTTTTTTTTTTGGTTTTTTTAATTGGTCTGAAACACTGTGGTATTCCACCCCATCCCAATATTACAAATATGTTCCCTAATCCTTATGTAGAGAGGACGTGTAGTTCTTTCCACATATTGCAGTTTACATGGACATCTTAATAAATAAATCACTTTATTACTCTGACAGGTAAAATGTTCCCTTATACAAAACTCTCTATGTGTCCTCTCTGATTTAAAGCTTTGTTCTATATTATTTTTATTTTTACCTTGCGGGATATTCCTACATGCCAAACACATTCTGCATCAATGGAAGCCTATGGGATATCACAAAAAAATCCCCACCAGTTTCTTAGCTTTGTTCCTCAGGTAACTATGGACCAGTGTGGTCCAAAAATGTGGGGCCCCCCTAAATGTAACTTTTGCTCTGGTTGGTAATATTCCATTGAGATCTCTATCGGTTTTCAGTATTGGCTAAAACATATTAATAGTCTTTTTAATTAATCCAAGTTGGTTATTAAAATCAAACACTAAAACCTCATTAGAATTATCCTGATCTCTTTCTTTTATATTCTCTTTATTAATCAATTCCAACTGTGCGATGCCCTCCACATCTTTTAGCGCTTTCTTAAGTATATAGCTTTTAAGTTTATAGCTTATACACCTCTATACCTCTATACATGAGGAGAGTATAGAGGTGGTATTTGCAGCGTTATAGGATGTACAAGTGAGTGAGGCATATATTCAATTTTTCATTGATCTCCTCACATTGGTTCTACACAAAAATTATTATTACTTTGAGGGTACATTTTACGGCGATGGGGTCTAATGTGGCTCCATCGTATGCTAATTTGTTCACGGCAGCATTTGAGAAGGCCTTTATTTACACAGATTTTGATTATCTGAGTCATGCTGGCTCAGATATATTGACAACATTTTTTTCATCTGGCGGGGATGAGGATACCTTACTGACCTTTGGACATATCCTTTTTACTGGGATATGGCAGAACAAGGATTAATTTTTTGGATGTATCACTTGAGGTAAGGGTAGCTATGGGTTCGTATGATTTGAGCCAAACGGCCAAGAGCTAGAGTGATTTAGTTTGGTTCTTCTGGTCGGTAGTTAAAGTCTAAAGAAATGAAATCCTCTAGTACAGCTTTCCCCAAGTAGTAATCAGGTACCCAAACACTAGCCGAAACATGATGACTGATCTTTATTGAGACCACACAGGCTTTTATGGAGGTCCCCTTGCAGGAGGACCTCCCACAGTACACAAACCAAATAGCCAATCATAAGGTACAGTTACACTTAAACACTGCCTGTCTCCACCTGTGAGATAATGAGATAAGTTAAGGAATAACCCAATTATCTCCAGGCGAAGTGCACACATTTTCCCCAAAACTCAGAACACCCCTTTATGCTTAAGGTATCCCCACAAATGTCACATCCCCTGATATCCCCGATCTGGGGAACAACATATTAAAATTTCACCCAGATCGGTTCAGGGTTTTTTAAAAAAGTGTGGAAGTCTTAAGTTACCGAAAATTATGAAAATGTCAAATAACTCCATAATCCATGAACGGAGCCTCCTGGCTCATAGGAGCGATTGTTCCCCTCATATGAATGCACCAAAGTACCGAAAAGCGCTCTCCTAGCTGTTCAGGAAATAAAGTTCCATCGTTCGTATGTTTGAGAACGGTGAACGGGAAGTCGAGTGTCCGATTTTAGTTCCAGACACTCAACAACCAAGTCCCGCTGCCTTTGTCCCGAACAAACAAGATGGTCGCCGTCTTCTCCGCCATGTGGCATTCGTATATACGAATGGCGGCCACCCTGAGAGAGCGCTTAATTGACGGGCTCCTTTGAAGTCAATGAGCCAGGAGGGTGGTCGGTGTTCGGTAGCTTCAATCTACCGAACCAATGTGGCATAAAATAAACAAATAAACCAAATAGATGAATGCTCAGAGAAAACCCCGAAATCCCTGTGGGTTTTCTCACAAAAGGGATAGTGAATATGGATTTATTCCAAAAGCCCACTGACAGAGTATCTTATCTACATGCGAGTACTTTCCACCCCGCACCCTTTGGAAAGGGCTTGCTCTATAGCTACCGTGTTTCTCCGAAAATAAGACCGGGTCTTATATTAATTTTAGTCCCAAAAAACACACTAGGGCTTATTTTCAGGGTAGGGCTTATTTATTTATGGTACCGGTATGTACATTGAACCCCCCCTTTAATTAATCCACCCCCCTTTAATAAATCCACCCCCTCTAATTAATCCACCCCTCTAATTAATCCACCCCCCTTTAATTAATCCACCCTCCTTTAATTAATCCACCCCCCCAATAAATCCACCCCCCCAATAAATCCAGCCCCCTCTAATTAATCCACCCTCCTTTAATTAATCCACCCCTCCTTTAATTAATCCACCCCCCTCTAATAAATCCACCCCCCTTTAATTAATCCACCCCTCCTTTAATTAATCCACCCCTCCTTTAATTAATCCACCCCTCCTTTAATTAATCCACCCCCCTCTAATTAATCCACCCCCCTCTAATTAATCCACCCACTCTAATAAATCCACCCCTCCTTTAATAAATCCACCCCCTCTAATAAATCCACCCCCCGTTTAATTAATCCAACCCCCCTTTAATAAATCCACCCCCCTCTAATTAATCCAGCCCCCCCTTTAATTAATTCACCGCCTCCTTTAATTAATTCATCGCCCCCTTTAATTAATTCAGTCCCAGACATAAAATATCTACTCACATTTCAAAGATGCCTTCCTTGCCCGCCGAGTCCGACCACTGGGTGCCTCACCGCCCGGAAATGGATCCTTCCGCTGAAGATCCGTGAAGGCAGACTGACGACGCTGCGCACGTCGTCATCACGTTGCGCGATGCCGCGGCCTGCAACGCTCCTCCTCCTCCTCATAGAAGAAGGAAGTCCCGCCGGGCCGAAAGGTACAATGCCTAGGTCTTATTTTCGGGGTAGGGCTTATATTGCAGCCCACCCCGAAAATTCAGCTAGGGCTTATTTTCGGGGTAGGGTGTATTTTCGGGGAAACACGGTAATTTTTTAGAACACGGATAATGGTATCTGACAGTGTAAGGTATGAATAATGCTCCACTGAGCTTGAACAGGACTTTACAGGGAGTGCAGAATTATTAGGCAAGTTGTATTTTTGAGGATTAATTTTATTATTGAACAACAACCATGTTCTCAATGAACCCAAAAAACTAATTAATATCAAAGCTGAATATTTTTGGAAGCAGTTTTTAGTTTGTTTTTAGTTTTAGCTATGTTAGGGGGATATCTGTGTGTGCAGGTGACTATTACTGTGCATAATTATTAGGCAACTTAACAAAAAGCAAATATATACCCATTTCAATTATTTATTATTACCAGTGAAACCAATATAACATCTCAACATTCACAAATATACATTTCTGACATTCAAAAACAAAACAAAAACAAATCAGTGACCAATATAGCCACCTTTCTTTGCAAGGACACTCAAAAGCCTGCCATCCATGGATTCTGTCAGTGTTTTGATCTGTTCACCATCAACATTGCGTGCAGCAGCAACCACAGCCTCCCAGACACTGTTCAGAGAGGTGTACTGTTTTCTCTCCTTGTAAATCTCACATTTGATGATGGACCACAGGTTCTCAATGGGGTTCAGATCAGGTGAACAAGGAGGCCATGTCATTAGATTTTCTTCTTTTATACCCTTTCTTGCCAGCCACGCTGTGGAGTACTTGGACGCGTGTGATGGAGCATTGTCCTGCATGAAAATCATGTTTTTCTTGAAGGATGCAGACTTCTTCCTGTACCACTGCTTGAAGAAGGTGTCTTCCAGGAACTGGCAGTAGGACTGGGAGTTGAGCTTGACTCCATCCTCAACCCGAAAAGGCCCCACAAGCTCATCTTTGATGATACCAGCCCAAACCAGTACTCCACCTCCACCTTGCTGGCATCTGAGTCGGACTGGAGCTCTCTGCCCTTTACCAATCCAGCCACGGGCCCATCCATCTGGCCCATCAAGACTCACTCTCATTTCATCAGTCCATAAAACCTTAGAAAAATCAGTCTTGAGATATTTCTTGGCCCAGTCTTGACGTTTCAGCTTGTGTGTCTTGTTCAGTGGTGGTCGTCTTTCAGCCTTTCTTACCTTGGCCATGTCTCTGAGTATTGCACACCTTGTGCTTTTGGGCACTCCAGTGATGTTGCAGCTCTGAAATATGGCCAAACTGGTGGCAAATGGCATCGTGGCAGCTGCACGCTTGACTTTTCTCAGTTCATGGGCAGTTATTTTGCGCCTTGGTTTTTCCACACGCTTCTTGCGACCCTGTTGACTATTTTGAATGAAACGCTTGATTGTTCGATGATCACGCTTCAGAAGCTTTGCAATTTTAAGAGTGCTGCATCCCTCTGCAAGATATCTCACTATTTTTGACTTTTCTGAGCCTGTCAAGTCCTTCTTTTGACCCATTTTGCCAAAGGAAAGGAAGTTGCCTAATAATTATGCACACCTGATATAGGGTGTTGATGTCATTAGACCACACCCCTTCTCATTACAGAGATGCACATCACCTAATATGCTTAATTGGTAGTAGGCTTTCGAGCCTATACAGCTTGGAGTAAGACAACATGCATAAAGAGGATGATGTGGTCAAAATACTCATTTGCCTAATAATTCTGCACTCCCTGTATATCAAGAAGGTATGCACCTAAAGTTGTGGCAGGATGTAGAACCAAGGCTCGCAGTCTTGACAGGAAACAAGTGCTGAGGAAGACGTTGAAACCTGAAAATAATTGTGCACCATGTATAATGACTTTTTCTACTCATGCTGAGCAGGTTCGTCATGTTGTACAGCACCACTGGAACATCTTGCAGTCAGATAGTAAGATTGCTTTGATTTTCAAGGAATGTCTGCTCTTTTTTTGCTCCGGAGTAAGAACTTTAAGGATCAGTTTCCACCTTTTGAGACTCTACAACAGTGTCTTACCCCACCACCCAGTATGTACCGCTGTGAAGGTTTTTGAATTGTAATGGTGTCACAGTAGGGGATAATTTCTTACATCCTAGCACCAGCAGGAGAAACTCTGTAATGGAGTAATGTAATTGTAAATCCGAATGGGTCATATACCTCTTGAAATGTCCATGTGGTATGGCCTATGTGGGTGAGACCACCCTGGCATTTACAGTGAGGGTACAGGAACATAAGAGTGGTATCCACACACAGAAATTGCAGCATTCAGTGACTAGGTATTTTGTGGAAGCTGCGGTACATGATTATAGAGAAGGTACATACTCCTTTGCGTGGTGGCTCACCTGAACTCCGATTGTGGCAGAGAGAGCTCTTATGAATGTATGAGTTACAGACGTTATTCCCTAAGGGCCTCAATGAGGACCAGGATTTATCATCTTTTTTGTAGTTGTGATTACCTTAGCCTGTGTATAGTTTGTTTTTTATTCTTGATAATAGGTGATGCACTGGAATGGTGATGGCACTTGGATGTTTATTATTTGCTCATTGAGCAAAGATCTGTTGTGGATCCAAGATTGGACTTTGGAGATTGAAGATGGATGACTAGTTTTGTGGAGATCTTGTTGGCCTATGATAATTATGGACTGGATTTTGCTAATGATAATGGAATATGTCAAATCTGTTTAAGTGGGAATTAAAATATTTCTAAACATTTCTCTCTCATAGTTATGTGTTTGGACTGTTTATGATGTTAAGATTATGCTTAACCTATCTTATACAGTGTCCGAATATCCGAATTGCAGACATTTGGCCGAATATAAATTTGGATCGAAACGAATTGTATATGTCTATACCCTTTATGTATTTAAATGTTTCTATCATATCCCCCCTGTCTCGTCTGTCCTCCAAGCTATACGTGTTCACCTTTCCGTATAAGTTTTCTCCTGTAATCCATGAACCAGTTTAGTAGCCCTTCTCTGAACTCTCTCTAAAGTATCAATATCCTTCTGGAGATACGGTTTCCAGTACTGCGATACTCCAAGTGAGGTCTCACTAGTAGGGATCGACCAATATTGATTTTTTAGAGCCGATACCGATACCATTAATCTGTGAACATTCAGGCTGATAGCCAATAACTTACCGATATTCTGTACATTTACCATTTTGAGAAAAATAAACTATTTCTAAAGGTAAATGCACAAAATATACATGCCACGTGTAGTGGATGCAGTGTGTTTAGACAGGGGAGCTGTGTATTTTTGTATAGTGTGTATATAATGAATGCAGAGTGTGTTTGTGTCGTGTGTATATAATGAATGCAGGGAGTGTTTGTGTAGTGTGTGTATATAATTAATGCAGGGAGTGTTTGTGTAGTGTGTGTATATAATGAATGCAGGGAGTGTTTGTGTAGTGTGTATATATAGTGAATGCAGAGTGTGTGTGTTTGTGTGGTGTGTGTATAGTGAATGTAGTGTGTGTGGTGTGTGTGTATAGTGAATGCAGTGTGTGTGTAGTGTGTGTAAAGTGAATGCAGTGTGTTTGTGTAGTGTGTGTGTATATATAATGAATGCACAGTGTGTGTGTTTGTGTAGTATGTGTATATAGTGAATGCAGTGTATTTGTGTAGTGTGTGTATAGAATGGAGTGTGTGTGTATAGTGAATGCAGTGTGTTTGTGTAGTGTGTGTATATTGAATGCAGAGTGTGTGTGTGTGTATAGTGAATGCAGTGTATTTGTGGAGTGTGTGTATATAATTGAGTGTGTGTGTGTATGCAATTTGTGTAAAATGGGGAGGCATTTTTACTTAAATTTTTTTTTATATATAAAAATAATTTTCAGCCCCCCCTTACTGCTTCTTACTTGGCCAGGGGTCTATGGCATTCCCTGGTGGTCCGTTGGCATTGACCTGGGGGGGGGGGGGGACCCTGCAGGTAGCTCTTACTTACTTTCCCAGCAGCTCCCTCCAGCTTCCTGTGTAACCCATGGCAACAGTCTGACGCCCGCAGGACTTGCAAGATTTACACAGGGAGCTGGAGGGAGCTGCTGGGAAGGTAAGTAAGAGCAGGCATCGCCACCGATTTGGTGTAGTTTATCTTGTAGCCTGCTAGACTCCCGAATCGTTCCAGCAGCAGTGTTAAGTGGTGAAGCGAGTTTAACGGATCGCTGAGGGTCAGCAGGATATCGTCAGCATATGCGGACACTGTAAATGTCGTGCCATTGACGTCAATTCCCTCAATGTGCGGGTGCTGCCGGATGGCCTGCAGGAGCGGCTCTAGGGCTAGAGCAAACAGTAAGGGGGACAGTGGACACCCCTGTCTGGTGCCATTCCCCAGGGTGAACGGTGTTCTGCGCGCCCCTGTTATGAGTATTTGTGCCCTCATGTCCGTATATAGTGCCTATATGGCTGTTATAAATGGTTCTGGGAATCCCTGGAAGCGGAGTAGCCCGAACAGGTAAGGCCACAACACTCTGTGCAAATAATCTTTTTTATAAGAAATATTGTATGCCTTTTTGTTTCCTATATATTGGATCATTCTAATGTGTTCGTTTATTCGTTCCATTTCACTGAATTTAATAAATACACTGCTGGATGAGTGGGTTCCTGATATTACTGTTTCTACCGAACTGTATAACTATTAATATGGTTTTCGCAAACAGTGTGTCATTCGTGTAATAAGCATGTTCAACTGTACATCGATGCGAGCATTGGATATTAATACATTAGTTTAGTTTCTGACAAACTGTATAGTAGCAAGTGCTATGTTCGGGGGCATGCACTTGGTTCATTTTCCAGGTTTAGCCGAACTATAGAATTAAGTGATACCTTTTGGAGTTTGCTGGTATTTCAGTAGTTTAGGGCATTCCCTCATTAGAGATGGCCCTGGATAATAATAATTATGTGCACACTCGGTAATTTAGGATCATTCATGTTGAATTTATTTATTTTATTTCCAATGTCACAGGTTGTTAATTTTTATTGTTTCATTGTGAATATTGTGTACATGTATTTGGAGGGACATTAACCCGAACAATGTTGAACGTGATGATGTCATGCTTAGCCTTGTTTGGTAATTATCCTGATGGCCATCAGCCGGATGGAGGGTTATTTAAAACACCAATGGAGGGTGGGTAAATATGGGTATCCCTTGAGAAAGGCACTAGTAACTGTGCCAAAATGTTGGGGTTTGTTTGGGACACGTGTCCAGCCCTTTGAGGCAATATGCTAGTGAGCTTATATGCCTTTGTGATTTAAGTGCATGTTATATAGCCTCTATCACTGGTTGTTACTGTCTTGTAATATTGTTAAATTTGGATTTAATAACATTTCAGTTTGTTTACTTTGTGTATATAATAAAGAGATTTGAGTTATTCACTTTTTGTATATAGTACTATGTTGTTTGGCACTAAGGGATGCCTATTTAAGATAGCACCCGTATCTGTTCTGTGAACTACATCCTTTTTCCAATTGATTTTGTTTAGCTGCAATTATTGGTCTTCCACCATGTTTAGGAGTTATGAAAGGCTTTGTAGTTTGAAAGAATCCTTTGGATTTTCTACAAACGTAAACCTGTATATTTGTCATGATTTAGAAAAACATTTTTAAGTATCATCAAACTATATTGATTTTATTTAGTTAAGAGGTTAAAGATCTGTTCTCCTTGTACTTGAACTGTGTTATGCATCTTTGATTTGCAATTTTCTATTAATAATACTTAAAATTAGGTCAGCAACTTCCATTAGAAAATAACGCTCATCCAATAAATGTATAATACAATTCCAGGTGACTGTTGCCTATTTTCCATTTAGCTTGGATTATCATGTGTAACTAGGTACATTATTTCCTGTACAGTGGAAAGACCTTCTCATATCTCTTTGGGGAAATTATATATTGTTATTATTTTGGGCATTTATATAGCGCCAACTTATTCCGCAGCCCTGTACATTATTATAAAAGAGGAAATTTAACAATAAATGCGATAAATACAAAATGTTACAGGAACAATAGGTTGACGAGGACCCTGCTCAAACAAGATTACAGTCTATATGAGGTGGTGTATGATATTATGTCACTTGGAAATTAAACAAGGGTCTCTTTTCTCCTGGGGCAAGGAACCAGCTCAGACCTCCATAATCCTATTATTGTTGTCCAACATTGAATAGAATCACAGTGCAGTAAACATTTTGAATGCTTTGTTTTATTAAGATAATTTAATGCTCCTTGTTTGTACCAGATTACTATTAGACAATATGGAAGAGAGCTTTGTGTTATATTGGATGGCTGTTTTTTTTATATATATATTTATGTTGTTATATTTCTTATTTCTGTTATTGTTAAATAAAAAATATTTGACAAAAATCACAGTTTATCAAGTTGACTGCAAAGGGCAGGGCTGTGTGCCAGGTATTGAGCCAGTTTTTGTCATTGATTGACAAAAATATTTTCAGAGATGGCTCCAATTCAAATTGTCAATACAAGTATAGAATAGGCTCCTTTACATAGTTTTCAAGAAAATCTAGCTATTATATAATAAAACTACTGACAGCTGATACGGGACAGCAGCTCAAAAAATGCCGCCAGGTTGATCAACGCTTGCATTTAACATCTGCACTCTACTCGCTACTTCCATTGACACTGATCACCACATAGCGTTTATCATTTTGCTAATTATATCAAGAAAAAGGTGCATTTTACAATCCTTTGCCATAGCAACTCCAACTGGATGCTATAAAAGGTTTGCTCATCACATACACACGTCACCTGTGATTATCTGAGCACGTTGCCTTAAGTGTTTCCATACTGACTTATTTCATAGATATTGAAAACGACATACTCCACGTTCATCTATTGGCTTTACTTTTTTAATTCACTTAAATATAAAACAAATGTATTTTAATAGAATGCATTTGGAGTTTACAGTTGTTAACATGAACTTTGATGAAAAGAATGAGGTAGGCAGAATTTTTAGTCAGATAACAACATGTGGTTATTGTTTCCATTTAGCATGAAAAACAGGTGCAACTTAACATTTAATGACTTTTGTCGTCCTCTACTAGTCTCTGAACATTAAAGTTTGCATCATGGAAACAGTCTGTATTGGCGAACAGCTGCCATTTTAGAGATTATTGGTTTGTCATTAAATCATTGTGACAAGCTTGAAAAATCCCCAAGTCAGATATGTGTGTAAATAATTCCATCTTGAACTAGTCTAGAGACTGTTAGTTGATTGTAAGTTTGTATCTTTGAAACTAGCTAATTTGTCTATTGACTTAAACACCCATCCTTAACCCATTTAAGGTCCTTAGCCTATTGCAACTACCCTTACTGACATTTAAAGGGATACTATAGGCACCCAGACCACTTCAGCTCATTGGAGTGGTCTGGGTACAGTGTCCCTATTGCACTTAGTGCTGTAATGTAAAACATTGCAGTTCCAGAGAAACTGCAATGTTTACATTGCAGCACTAAGTCTGCCTCCACTACATGACTACCATACAGCCACTGGGTTTGCTTCCTGGCTGTTAACTGATTTTTGGTCCAGTAAATGATGCTGGACATTCTCTGCATGAGGACAACCAGCGTCAGCTATATCCCCATAGGAAAGCATTGATTCAATGCTTTATTGTGGGGAGCAAAGCTTCATACAAACTCTCTAGTCCAGGGGTTCCCAATTATTTTTTTTCTGTGGAACCATTTGACATAGTGTATCAATGTCGTAGAATACTTCTGTCTGCTTGGTTTCTCTAATATCAATTTTGGAAGCATGTAGAAAGCTTCAAATAATTGATGGGTTTAAGCTGCTCTAGATCTATATGTAGCATTGTCAGCTGTGTGACATTTCAGTTCCTGACAGTTTGACCGTGATTCTAAGGGTTATTCTTTAAATCATTGCTTGATGGCAGCTCTTTCCACTGATGACAATATATACATTGTGTTCTTGGTGTTTCTTTGTTACCACAATTGCAGTTCTTATGCTTCTAGCTTTTAGTGTAGCTGTCCTGTATTCGCATCTGGTCACTGAACACATGAAGACAAAGATACAGCCACTAAACAATTCAAAACCCAGGAGTTTGGGGGTTCTAAGGTGGAGTATTCCCTATTATAACCAATTTAAATGACACCTGTGGTACCCAAAACAACTTTAGCTCTTTTAAAAGAACATTATATTCCAACTATACATTGTCTAGCAGTTTTGCTAACAAATGTATGGGTTGGGAGGACAACCTATTTCTCCAACATGATGGATAAAATGTACCAGTGTCATGATCTACATATGGGTTACATATATGGGTTACATATAAAAAGTGTAGTTTTCCGAAAGTGGTTTAAAGTTCTAAAAGGGTATAGAGTTGAGCGAAACCGAACTACTAATGGCATGGATGTGATTGGCCAGTGCAGCATGTGGCCCAGCCTCTATAAGCTGGAGTCACGTAGC